TATATTATTTCTATATATATTATTACTGTGATTTTTATTATTATTATTAATTATTTTATAAATTGCAAATGTTATTTTTAAAATATTTGTTAAATAATCCTATATTCAGTTCTGGGAAGTCGGGGGGGGGTGGGGTGGTTGGGGATGGGGGGGTGGATTTTTATTTGTAAAACTTTTGAAAAATTTCAATAAAAAAAAAAAAAAAAAAGTATATGGTTCTCTGGTAAGAGCCGGTTGAGGTTTTTCATTATTTCCCTGTTCTTTTGAGTCACCAACATCAGTGCTTGTTTCTGCTATCAATCAGTGAACATTAACATACGGTTGAGTTTATAGGAGATAATGTACCACAATTCCACAGCCTGTAACTCAGGTTACAGTTGGAAGATCAAGAAAACCAAAGCAAAAAGGACTCAGTAGCAATAGGCAATAACAAACCATTTCCATATTGTTGCCAAGAAAGCCAAATAAATGTTTCACAAAATATCTGAACGCAAGTTCAGCTCAAAGGAAACTTTCCTTTTGAAATGTAGAATAGGAGTACTTAATGTGCTAAGCACTGGCCCCCATGTGACAGTAGATTACTTCTTTTTTTTTTTTTTTTTTGCAAATCTCCATGCTCCTCCCTCCTCTTTAACTTTATTTTTAAAACATGAAGAAGAAACTGGTGCAAAACAAAATCAACTAGGCTAAGAAAAGATATATTCAAGCAGGAAATTCACTTGGGAGAAGGGTGTGGACGTCTGTTCCAGTTCTAGGAACGAGCCAAAAATAATGTTATTTTTCCTTCACAATTCTTAGAGTTAAGCCTGAACAAAAATCAATGTAATCGATCAATTGTCCAAAGTTTGGCATTTCACTGAGTGAAATTTTCTTCTCAATAAAATAAGATTCCTGACTTTGATGTATCAAGAGATCATCAGACATTTCAGATCACGTCTCCTATGAAAATTACATATGAAGGCTGGAAGGACATTACAAAAACACACATGTTTTGTGTATCTCAAGGAACAAGAAGGCTAAAACTGGCTTGCTAGTTGCTGAGTTAATATTTGGCCTTCCAACCCAGATGCTCTCAGATTCCCAATCCTTTAAGCTGTAATAAATGTGGACATAAGTCAGGAATGCTTAGCAGCCAGAGAAGTTCCCTTTTCCTGTTCTAAATGAGAATAGAATAAAATATCTTTATTGTCATTATGTAACTCACAACGAAATTAAGATTGCAAAGCATAGTAAAGTTACTTTGTGTATCTCAGAACCCACTAATAGAGCTCAGGACTATGCAAAGCATGGATGGAGGGAGCTTCCTAATGTTATTGCCTGAGGACTATAGCCAACACAAAGTATTAATTCATTCTGTGGATAGGCATTACCCCTCTGGAATGCAGAGGAACATGCAAATGCCAAACAAAGCAAAGAGTGAGCCAGAGAAGCTATATTTGTTTTGTTTAGAAAAGAGAAAAGAAGAATGAGAAAATAGCCAATACCGCACAATTTATTACGCTGATAAACAATCGGTATTAAAATAAAAGTTCAGGACAAGAATTCAGTTACGAATTTTTCTTTGCAAGAATTCAATTAACAATACAGGTAAGTCCACGACGACCACAATGGAGCCCCAAAAGTTCCATTGCTGAGCAAGGCAGTTCTTAAGTGAGTTTTGCCCCATTTCATGATCTTTTTGGCCACAGCCAAAAATACATGCCAGTTGCCAAGCGCCTGAATTTTGATCATGTGACCATGGGGATGTTGCAATGGTCGTAAGTATGAAAAATGATCATACTGTTTTTAGTGGCACTGTAATTTGCCACTGTAATGAATGGTTGTAAATTGAGGACTACCTGTTTGTCAGCCAACTCTAGCTAGCACACTCTGTAAATTCAATCATTATTGCATTCTGAATGCAGAATATCTCTGAACTTTAGATCTGAAAGCAAAGAAGTAAAGCAAAGAAGGGGCTTATCGCCACTTAATCTGGCTACCCACTTGGGTAACAGAGAATGATTGTATTCTGCCTTCAGCAATTTGCCTTGTACTGAACTATGATCATTGCATGCTAAAAGTACTTACAATATGCTCTCTGTTTTTCAAAATGTGCTTTGAATCCCTGAAAAGCTGTTTATTCCTACAGCAGCTATAAATAAAGCAACAGCTTATACAGGTTTGGACAAATGCCATGAGACGCACTACAAGCAAAACAGAAGGAAAAGCTGTGGGAAAGGAGAAGAGGATCCATTTGCAAGTCAAAGGCTCATAAAGAATAATTCTCTTAACAGTGACCTGCACCTACGAGATTCAGGTATTAGACTTTGAGTCTAAAGCAGGGATGTCCAACTTTGGTTACTTTAAGATTTGCAGACTTCAATTCCTCTGCATGGCTGGCTGGGGAATTCTGAGAGTTGAAGTCCATAGGCCTTAAATTTGCCAAGATTGGACATCTCTGGTCTAAACAGTATGGCCAATAGGTAGGGATTCTAGAAGTTAAGCTCCACTTTCTAGAAGGTGCTAAGTTAAGAAGATCACAGTAAAGCATGATTGGTATTACATCAGAACCCATGTATAATGTCAAGGTTCCGATCAACAGAGACAAATAAAGCAGAACTCCGAGGCTTGCAAATTCCTCAAAGAACATGTTTATTGATACAGCGTATCGGTACTTCAAAAGTGAAACCAAGTCTGAAGAGATGCATAACAATTCCCCAATACAAAGTTAAGAAATCCTTCCCCCAAAACTATGCAAGCAACTACGTTTCCCCACTTAGCTTGTTGGCGGGCTTTTCATGAAACGTCCAGCCTGCAGTCTCAGGAGCAGCCAATGACCTTGGTTCCCATGAGAGAAAGTCTGAGAGAGAAAGTCTGTTTTGTCCAGCACAACACCTGGCAAACCCCCTCCCTCCCTGCTATGTGGCAACTAGGAATGAGAAGGAAAAAGATGGCTGCAACCATGCTCATTCTAAAGTACTTGACATATAACAGGAGATTGAATTCGTCTACTAAAATAACGAAGGCCAAACTTCTCAAAGGACAGTCTGTAAAAGCAGTTGCTTTTAGTATGGACTTCCCCCAAACTGTGGGTTATATCTCAGTATAAAAGTTCAAAAGGAAGCTGTTAAAATGTTTTCTCTAATTTATGCCTGACCGCATCACCAGATATTTGAAATAATCCGGGGCACCACAATGAGTCACTGGCAATTAGAGTATGAAGTTTCCGCTCAGTGACTTTGAGGCAGACAATAGGGCCTGGTCAAAGTTTCAGCAGAGACCTATCAATTCATGATGTGCCAGACTGTTTCAGGTGTGCACTCGTTCATGGGATTCAGATATTCCTTGTGCAGAATGAAACAGACATCCTGGTCGTGCACGGCTGTAAACTTACAACGGTTCATTTAGTGACCATTCAAAGTTAAAACTCCACTGAAAAAAGTCACTTATGACCATTTTTCATACTTATGACTATTGCAGTATCCCCATGGTCATGTGATTAAAATTTGGATGTTTCACAACTGACTCATACTTATGAGGCTGGCAGTGTCCCAGCATAATGTGATCACCTTTTGTGACCTTCTAACAAACAAAGTCAATGGGGAAGCCAGATTCACTTAACAGCTGTGTTACTAACTTAACAACTGCAGTGATTCACTTAACAGACGTGACAAGAAAAGTCGTAAAATGGGCAAAATTCACTTAATAAATTTCTCGCTTAGCAATAGAAACCTTGGGCTCAATTGTGGTTGTAGGTTAAGGATTACCTGTATTAAGTCACATCAAACTGCTTCAGGAAGCAAACTGAGATATGCCATGATTCCTCCTTGAGTTTACTTTAAGCATATTTGCATAATTTTCTGATTATGCAACTTGTCAACCTACGTGTGCCCTATCTTATATCTCCACTTTTCCACATGTTAAAGACACTCAAGACAGTTCACAATAAAAACTTACAATAGACTAAGATTAAGTTAGAACAAACACATCTCTTCTCAAGGCCAAGCAAATGAAAATATTTACAGTAGTTGCAACATCGTCATGTAGTCTTTTTGCTTCTCAACAAGAATGTGCAATTTCCATCAGTTTGGGGGCGGGGTACACCAGATGTTGCACAACATTGTGAGAGCCATATTTTGAAAGTTGGCAGGGCAAGTTCCCATTTTGGCCAGGAAAGCCACTTTAAGGAACAAAATGGGTGCCTCGATGCTCCCCAGAAGCTATAGCCTTCTGGCTTTTCCCTTTCCCAAAACAACAACAACAACAATAAAAAACACCTTGACATGTTATGGATTACAAGTGAATGCTGTTAGCTCTGTAATGTTTTATATTCAAAGGCAAAATGATGGTTATATCTCTCTATTATAAGAAAAATTTGTGGCAGAAATGCTACAGCATTGGATCCAGGAGTCAGAGATACTGCTGTCTTTAGTTTAATTTGTGTCTGTTTTTAAACTTTTAAAATTATTATTTTAGGAGGTGAGGTGGACGAGTGTGAGAAAATAAAAGACAGAGCAAGAGTCATTGAAGGGCTTAGCATTCTGCACTGTTTCCACCATTTTCATTGTCTCATGGTTTACATCAATGCTCTGTTCCTTTGACGGTATAATATTATGCTGCCTGGGAAAGTTTGCATTGAAAGAACTATCCAAAGAAACCCATGTGAAAAAGTAAGCAGACTTTTCAAATAAATTGACAAAATAACAAGGTGTATCCTCTTTACATCCTTGGAATTCCAATAAGGCCATTGCTGAAAATTCTAGAGTTCAAGTCCATACATTTTAAAATTGCCAAGGTAGCCTAATATGTACATTAAACAATATATTGCTTAATTCAACAGAGGACAACTTGTGGTTCTCCAGATGTTGTTGGATTACAATTCCCATCATTGATAACAGATACTGAGAGTTGTACTTTAGCAAGATTTGGAGGCCATATATTCCCCAGTTGAGACAGAGAACTTGTTGGGAAGTCACAATAGATAGCAGGTAAAGAGCAAAGTAACATCCAATCACACCAACCTTTTTCTTGGCTGTAGACAAACCGGTTCAGAATACACAAATGTGCTACCATCAGTAGGTAGCAAGGAATTTGGTTAATCCACATTCTTTTGCAATTCACTATGGAAAACAGGTCACTTCAAGTGGTCGTTTTCCTTCATGCAGGCAAGTTCTAATAATAAAAAAAAACATTTGAATAATGTTATTGCTTATTTTCTCAATAAGATACACTGTGTAGAATGTCTTAGATGTTATATATTGCATTGCCTAATTTCATTCACCTTAGCTGTAGACTTGTAGACTTAGGTAAAATCTGCTTCTTACTGTCATCTCAAAAGAAATGTATCACTTCAAATATTTATTTGTACAGATGCATGGAAAATTAGTATTAAAATGATACAGTGTGAGACTGTGCCTAATACAGGTGAAAACTACCAACAGCTAGTAACTTGGTGAAGTGGGAGGGAAGGAGAGAGGCCTGTATTACAGACAGTCTTTGTTTAATGTCTACTTGTTCAACAAAGTTATGATGATGTTGACTGGGTCCATGTAGTTGCAGCTCTTATGGTGTCCCCATGGTCACATGATCACTATTTGAGTGCTCAGTGACTAGCTTGTAATTACAACAATGCAGATCACCATTTGCAATCTTCACTGCTGACTTCCCACATTCAAAGGCAATGGGAAGCTGGCAGGAGGTTGCAAATAATAATTATGTGACAGAGGGATACTGTAACCATGCAGGATTCACCTAACAGCAAGAACTATCAGAACTGCGGTTGTAAGTTGGAACAATCAATTGCCTTACAATTGCTATTCCCCTTCCCTTTTCATAGTAGTAATGGATTTTTTTTTCACTGAAATGCTGTCAACCACCTTTTTGTAAGTCAAATGCAACATATACACATACACATATATACATATAGCTACATATACAGAGGACTACAGAAGAGACGCTTACTTATTTGTACTGCAAGAGACTTTTGTCAGATTTAATTAGACTTCTTTGCATATTTGGCTTGTATCAGTTAATAATTGTAAGTGAACAACAATTTTTCGTACTTCCATTCCTTACGTTTCTTCTACTATAGATGCTGAGTGGGATCAATGCTAAAAAAACGAGTTACTGTTTTTAGCAGCATCAAACCTACAACTTTGTGTGTAAAATTGAACTATATTTTAGTCTCCTCTTAATCTTGACATACAGCAGTGGTCCGATGTTGCCACAAGCATCTCCTCTACCACACCTAAAATATTCCAAGATAGCATCACAAACACCTAGCAGCAAACTATCCAACTTTCACAGGGGGTAAATTTTGTTCAATTTGAGGGTCTGAGAATTGTTAATGATGGAATGGAAGCAGAAAACTATTTGAAAGCAAAACACTCCCATCCCTGCCCTTAACCACTTTAACCCTCAAAAACAAGAAAAAACTAAGCCAGATGGTATCACTGGCAAATTGGAAAGTTAAACTGTGGCACCGACTCAAAATATATTAGGTGCTTTTGCCTTAAATCAAAAGGGATTCATCTTTCAATTAATAGGAAAGTGTTTGTCTATTTAAAAAGAAAAATTGCTTTCATGGTTGGAATGCATCATTCTGGCACTTATTACAAAGCTAGCCAAGAACTATGGGCAAATACCCATCTTTCCACTCATCACAGATTCCCTACTTCTCAAGTCTAAATTAAATCTTAATCATTTTCCTCTCCTGCAGCTTTTTCAGCTTGGGAAGTGGGAAACCAAGAAAGGCTAAATAATAATGCAGAAATATGCAAGTTAAATCTGGGCAGCTGCACCACTGAAACTGCAAAGAACAGGCAAACTCAAAACAGCAGGGGTCCAAAGCAATTTGAACATACAGTAAATAGAAAAATAAATTTCTATTTCCCTGGAAAAATGCTGTAGAAATTTGAAGGACAAATTTTAACAAAGTAAGAGTTACAGGGAAGGGAGATGATGGAAAAAAGGCAATAGGATCTTGTGAGAAAAAAAAGAAAGTAAAGGTTTTCGGTATAGCTTTAAAGTCGACACGTTTCTTAAGCTTTAGAAGAAGTATTTTTCTCAGACACTTGGCCCCTAAATGATCAATCTGGATATTATTTTTTGGGGGGGACACTCACTCCCAGACACCACTGAGCATCATGATTTTTTTTAGGTATATGGGCTTTCCCAGCATTTTTTTTTTATAGACTAGGCTTTTGACTGCAGGCTTGGCTTTTTAAAGTTGAAATGTATACTGTTATCAAGAGACAAAGAGGCAACATAAATCGTGTGGGTGTTTTATAAATTATGTCATGTCTTTAGCTACTGGAGAGGGAAAAAACCTACAAATCCAAATCCTTTACCTCTCCACTCCATGACTAAGAGCATTTAGCTACAATACATGATCCTTCAAGCCGCATATTTTGTGGCTTACTTGAAAAGCAGAAAGAGAAACTAGACTGGGGATATTTCTAATATTTACGTTTGAACTCAGCATAGCATGTTGAAACAAGCTCTTTGCTCCATTAGGAACAGGCTGCCTACATTAAATTCTTTTTTTAAAAAAAAAGTATTTATAATATTCAGTTAAATTTAGAAATTTGACTAATAATTTGAAAACATTGGAAAAAATGTGAAAAATACACCCCCTCAAATTGATTTAGTCCCATTATTTATTAAATTTATATATTGTCCATCTCTCTATCCAGATATTCATTAGATAATCCTTTATTATCCAAATAGATAACATTATTATTTTTACAACATATGTAATAGGAAGACTTACATGTAACAGATATTTACAATTCCTACCCAAAGAAGACCAACTATGCAATAAAACGCTCAAGGGAAAGGAAGAAAACATCTTTCTTCCTTCTCCAGAAGGGCATTTATATTCACAAGAGAAAGAACAAGAGAATTATTTGTTTCTATCTTTTGACCTGGAGGTCGGGATAATCTGTCCTTCACCAGACTGCAGAGTAATGGGGACATGCTATAGATTAGCAGCAGCAGCAGCAGCTAAATACTTATCCATATATGTTTCTAGTGCAGGTGGTAAAATACTCAGGAGTCAGTCCCCAAAAGGTACTTTGACATACCTGGAAAATCAAACATAGCCCTGGCCTCAAAGGTCATGGCCAGGCGAGTTGTGGGAAAAACATGCAGCTGTCCAGAAGCCCTTTTTGGGTCAAATCCAGAGCTGAAGGGAGAAGGTCAGTCTGGGATTGAAACCTCTACATGGAACTAAGCAAGTGCACTGTTTTTACCAAATTTGTGGCATAACACAACAAAGAGTCTAGACAACAGTAATAATACCAAAGCAGTAGAAGATCCATTGGAATAGGCAGAAGGCAACAGTTTTTGTTTTGTTTGCAATTAGGGATAAAATCTGTTGGATTTGCTCATCAGTTGAAGGGCATAAAGGGGGATATAAAGCTAATGGGCAGAGCAGGACCAGATTTTGTACATAGGCTTTCATCAATTTGAAAATGTTATTTTTGCTTTCATTAATGGATTTGAACACTTATTTGATGGTGCATCAACAAGTGACAATCAACAAAGAAGGTCCTTAAACCACATTCCAAAGCATCCTTTCTCTTTGAACCTGAAGTTCTATGGAGCCCTGCCTCAACCCTCTACCTATCTCATATGGTTACTGCAAGGGCAACAGGAAAGATTGAGAGGCAATATGCAGTTTTGAGAAGTTCTGAGAAGTTAAAAGAAAATGACAGAAGAAAAATTGAACTATCCTCATAATTACAATGTAGAGACCCATGAAAGGTAATTTTGGAGAAGAATTGAACCATGGAGAAAAAAAAAGATTAGAGAGAATTGAAGTGTATGGAATATTCATTTTATATCCCTCTAAGTTCACTTTGCTATTTTAAGAAAATATATTATGTATAGCCTGATTTGTTCATCCAAAGCATCAGATAATATATTTATTGGATGTAAAATGATAATTTAGTTTTAGTTTGGTTTGATTTTAATTACAATTTAAATTTCAATTAGTTTAATAATTGACTTTACTTAGCATTATTTTAAATTTTTGTTAAAATGAAATTTTAGGATGCAAAGCTTTTAGAAACCTAGATTCTCAATATTTTCAAGTTAAAAACATTTCAGGGAAAAAAGTTATCACCAACATGATTATAAAGCAGTGTTGTTTTCTGACCTTAGACTCCTCCATCTGTTCACATTTTTTAGAAAAAGAGCCAAGGAAAACAGGAAACAACAAGCATGTTCATTGCATGAAAATTTTCCCATTTGACACTGTCTACTCAGTCTTATTTTTTGAACAATCAGGCTATCAGTGTTTTCTACTACTTATAAGGTTGAGACTTCATTTTTACCCTCTTAATAGATTTTCAGTTCGGAAAACTGACAGCTTGCCCAGTCAGAGACAAGCTGCTTTTAGTTTTCCCATGTTGATTCTCAGCATACAAATTACTGGAAAACTTTTTGGAATAATAAAGAATAACAATATTTAAGCATCTTGCCTTACTGTACTTTTAAATATTTCATTGGATGGTGGTGAGTTAATGCTTTCTAGCATTTTTAAATTTTATCCAGATTTCAGGGGGAAAGGCTCTGTGATGGTAGGAGAAGAAAAAGAGCCTTTTCCAATTTTATTTGAACAGAATCTGTATTCTTATTGTATACAGAAAAACTGTATTCATAGCCAACAGCCTTTTTAATGTGAGCCGAAAGTGGACAGGAAAAACTGCTAAGATGATGAATTATATAAAATTTATTCTGAGCGTGTAGCATTGCCACCCCACCTCAACCCAGTGCTGACTCAGTCATGACAGCAAATAGTGGGTGGAAATTCATAACAATTTCCCTTTTAATTCTGAGTGTTAAAAAGAAAATTAACATGCAGAGTGATATGTGTAGGGGGGGGACAGGGCAGAGAGACGCTAAGCAATAACAAGCAATAATAAGCAAAGTTTTACAGGATATAAAGAGACATGTTGTGTTTCATAAGACGTGGACAATCTGTTCCCATGGCTCATATTGGCTTTGGCTCAGAAATAAGCCAAATACGTTTGCTGTCGAGTCACTTCCTTCAAGACCAGAATGTAGCTCAGTTTATTTTCTGAGTGCAAATAAAATTCACCCTTCTATTCGGACACTTAAAATGCTCCTCCAACTATCTGCTCCATAACTACTAATGGCCCTTTAAG